GCTGGCTGTGAACATTCTAAACTAACACGAGTCTCATCAAGTGTACAGTTTAAGGGTATTACACAGAAACATACCAAGGGAACATGAATCAAATATGCACTTTTATTCATTTACAATAAACTCATAAAGTACATCATTCTGATTGAAGCTAAGGGCATACAAAACTGTCTAACATGCTGAGGGCCAAGAGGGTGGTGACTAGTTGATGGTAGAGGTTGGCATGTTTATGACATTGATCACATTTCCACACCTGCTCGGTCGCATCCTTGTGAAGTGTTGGATAGATGTACCCTTGCCTTAATGTTTTCTGGGCTAGGGTCTGGTTACCGAGGTGATTGCTACAAATGTCTTTATGAATTTCCTAGAACACGTACTCGCCCTCATCCCTGCGGAGGCATCTGAGGTAAGGCAAGGTGAAGAACCTCCTATACAACCTTCCTTCTAGCAAAGTGTAGTGTGCTGCCTATCGTCAGAGTTTTTGGGCTTCGTTCCTGTCATCGGGTAGTCTTTCCGTTAGTAGGAAGTTGATGATAGGATCCATCCAAGATGGTTCAGCCTCTATGGGTAGGACTTGGATGTCCTCTATGGAGGGCCGGGATAGTCTTTCCACACGCACAGTGCGGCTGAGGGCCGCATCCAAGATGCTCGCTAATTTGGAGAGGGCGTCGGCTTGGGAGTTCTCGGCTTCTGGGACTTGCTTCAGAGAGAAGCATTGGAAGTGACAGGCTAACTCTTGAACTTTGGCGAGGTACTTAGCCATGCTTTGTTCTCTAGCCACATACTCATCATTGAGTTGAATGACCATCAATTTCAAGTTGTTGAGGACTTCGACGTGCTTGGAGTCGAGGTCTCGGGCAAGCTACAACCCCACCAGGAGGGCTTCGTACTTAGCTTCATTGTTGGATGCAGGGAACTCGAATCTTAGCGCATACTCTATGACGGCATCGTTAAGGGTGAGGAGAATGAGGCCCGCTCCACTCCCCTTGGCATTGGATGAACCGTCAACAATAAGTATCCACGCGGGAGGGACCTCCTCGGCTAGTCGTGCTTATTCTAGCTCATCTTCGCGAGACCGGCCGAGGGGCCTGCTGAAAGTGCTTTCTGCTACGAAGTCAGCCAAGGCTTGCACTTTGATCGTGGGTCTTGGCTGGTATTGTATGTCAAACTCTAATAGTTTATTGCCCACTTAATCAAGCATCCCAAAGTCTTTGTCTTGGTGAGGATGACCCTAAGGGGCTGATTTTTCAAGAACACTATGGAGTGGGCTTGGAAATACGACCTGAGCTTTCTGGCCGAGGTGATGAGGGCGTATGCTAGCTTTTTCACTTCGGGGTACCGGGTCTTGGCGTCACTAAGGACCTTGCTGACATAGTATACAGGTCTCTGAACTCCATCATCTTTCACCAGGACCGAGCTGACAGCCTCGTCTCCGGTTGATAGGTACAAATACAAGGTTTCTCCTAATACTGGCCGAGCGAGGAGTGAGAGTGATGCGAGGTATAGCTTGAGCTCATCGAAGGCACACTGGCACTCCTCCGTTCATTGGAAATCTTTCAACTTCTTGATGGCATGGAAGAAGGGAAGGCAACGGTCTGCCAACATTGACATGAAACAGTTAAGGGCGACTTTTCTGCCGGCGAGCCTTTGAGTTTCCTTCACTGACCAAGGGGGTGCCATGTTTAGTATGGCCTGTACCTTGCTTGGGTTGGCTTCAATGCCCCTTTGAGTGACGGACAAAGCCTAAGAATTTACCCGAGGTAACCCCGAAGGCACACTTGCTCAAGTTGAGCTTCATGTTGAATTTATGTAGAATATCAAAGGTTTCGGCCACTTCGTAGGGTTCCCCCTCTTGGGGTTCCGCTTCTGCTTTGTTGGCCACTTCATGAACTTCTCTTCTGCTATCTGAATTAGTATCTGAGTGCAGGTGGAGTTGAGTGGCATGTAGTCCTTGTAGGCCAAGGCCGGAGCTGGTGGTTTCTTGTTGTCTCTGCCGTCATTGTTGTCAGGGTGACGTTGGTCCCCACTTTTCCTTTTCTTCTCTGGTGGCCCGTTGTGGTGCTCACCTGCCCTTTCTTGATTGTCCCCGACCGAAGCCTCTTCAACCGTAATGTATTTTTGGGCCTTTTTGAGGAATTCGAGTTTAATCTTCGGTAGGGTCTTGGCAACCGAGCACTTGAGAGTCGAGCCAGGGTGGAGTTCGTTGATGGCTGAGTACATGGAGACCATAGGGTTGAGGCCTCGAACTTCGAGCTCTTCTTTCTTAAAGTGGTCGATATAAGATTGTAGACTTTCACTTGGCTCCTGTTTGAGCGACATCAGAGAAACTATGCTCTTCTGGCATTGCTTGTTGCTGATGAAGTGGGCAAGGAACAGGTTTGTAAATTGCTCCCATGAGCTGATTGACCAAGGAGGAAGGTTGGAGAACCAACAACGAATGGCACCCCTGAAGGTAGCCTGGAAGGTCCGACACATCAAGGCATCAAAATATCTATACAGTATCATGAGTGCCCTGAAACCCTCTAGTTGGTCACCGGGGTTAGTGCTTTTGTCGTACATCTCTAGTGCAGGAGCCTTGAAATGTGGGGGGAGAGGCTCCGAGATGATTTTTGGGGTGCCCATGCAATTGATAGAGTTGTCATGACTGGTTGAGGTATCGGCTCGGCTCTCCTTAACCTGGTAGAGCTCGTCCTTGACGGCCCCAATCTCAGCTCACAACTTGGCAAGCCTTGGGTCTGCACGGGCATGGGCCCTGCTTCTGTCTTCGCGGACTTGATAGGTATCCGCTCGTGAAAGAATGGTAAGATCCATCATATGGATGCCAAATAGGTTGTGGAATGGGTGGGCAAATTTCAAAAATTTCTTGCCATTCTTCCAACTAGGAATCATATTCCCTGAATTTTCCAGGATTTATCTTGAACCAAAACCGAACCAGTTCTGAACCAAAAGAGAAGGGAAGGGATATATCTGATTTGGAGAAGTAGTATCTCCCAACGTCGGTGTTCACGCCCAATGAAAAATCCCAAGAACTGCTCCCACTAAAGATGACATAGTGATGATGGAGCAGAACCAGCAGTGTTCATCCCACGAACCAGGTTCTTTTGAAGAACTCGATGGAGGCAGTGAGCACCACACACAATCAAGAACTTTTCTTGATCTTCCCTCACAGAGAACTCGAACTAGCAATAGATGGTGGCGGCTGCTTGAGGAGAAAGGCTAGAGCAGAAGGTGGTGAACTGCTTTCTTCTCTCTAGGGTTTCTCTGAGATCCTATCTCAAGAATGCAGGTGTTCTATGAATACCCTTAAGGTTCGAATTCTTGTAATTCGAATTAGGGTTTCTCTACTTTTCTTAGTGATTAAGAAACCTCCTAATCTTATTAGGATTAGGAGTTATCCTAATCCAAATTTGTATTTGGATAAGAAGACTTCTTAATCCTATCTGCAGATTAGATCAGCCCACTCCTGATTTTATCAGGAGGTTACCAGATTCAAATCCTAATTTGAATTTGGTATCCATGAGTGGATAGGATAAGATCCAATCCTTTTGGCTTGACCTTACCTCATATCCGCCCCTTTAACTGACTGATCAAATCAACCCAGTTCGAAATGGGCTTTAGGCCCAATATGTATCAAGTGCTCAATAGCCTTCCAAACTGCTGCCCAGTTGGGCTTCTTTGTATGGAGTGGGACCCAAGCATTGATCTACACATCAGCCACAGTGGTCCCTGGGCCAAGCCATCTTATAAAAAACCCAAGGACTGTGGGCAGATGCAAGATTAGCCCATCAGGTATAACCCTMAATGGYCTTACACTTAACCTCTCAKCCCATAATGATCAAACACTGCCCGACAAGAGAGGACCTCTCCCTTGGCTACAAGGAACAGTGTTGCACTCTCTAGTCACATGGATCCCGGGAATTAAAACCATTTGCAAACATTTTGAAACTGTACATATCTATGTATCTTATATATAAATTTTGCAAAACAAAATTCCAACGATTGAAATCAATTGTCGGCAGTTTGGTTTCTATTAGAGAGAGTGCATCCCCGATCATTACCTTTGTCTGACAAAGGGGTTGATCCTGTCACTATGATCACTCACTCAGATGGGTTCGTGAACCATTCCAACATACCTAGGTTTTGACCCCCTCTAAGGATCTCACTGAATGGCATATCAAAGATAGCCCAATCTGCCACTTAGTGTAGTATCATAATCGAGTCTAGGGGTCAGGTGTAACTTTCTAGTTTTGCCCACTCATCACCAAGGTCCAGGGCAATACTGGAAATCTGGTCCAGTTCATGGTCACAAAATGAACCCACACTGCATGTACTTCGGGTCTCACCCTGGCGGCTGAAACAAGCCACCCCAACTAACTTGGCGGCACATCAGTGTCAGCCTTATTAGGATAGGTCTCCCCAGACCGACCCACTGGCTGTGAACATTTTGAACTAACACGAGTCTCATTAAGTGTCCAGTTTAAGGATCTTACACAGAAACATACCACACAACATGAATCAAACATGCACTTTATTCATTTACATTAAATGCCAAAAGTACATCAAAGCTGATTGGAGCTAAGGGCATACAAAACTGTCTAACAGCTCCCACATGCACTTAGGTCCATTCTAGTACAAGCTAAAGTTTCATGCTTTCCATGTGTTTCTCAAACACTTTCTATGTGAGTAGCTTAGTCAATAGGTCTGCCACATAATCTGCTGATGCTACCCTCTGAATCAGGACGTTCCCTTTACCAACAATCCCCCGCAGTACATGGTACTTCCTCTCGATGTGCTTTGACTTTGAGTGGGCTCGAGGCTCCTTAGCCTGGGCGATCGCTCCATTGTTGTCACACAACAACGGGATGGGTGATGTGCTGGACGGAACCACTCCTAATTTGTGAATGAACTTTTCATCCACATGGCTTCTTTGGAAGCTTCACTAGCGGCAATGCACACGATCCTATCATGAAAACTTACCCAGATGTAGACCTTCTATCATCTGGATCCGACTAGAAATCGGCAACAGTATACCCTAGAATTTGTAGTAAACTACCATCGAATACCAAACAAAACTCTTTTGTCCTTCGAATGTATTTGACTTTGTTTTTCACAGCAGTCCAATGCTCCTACCCTGGGTTGGCCTGGAACCTGCTTACCACACTCACTGCCTGTGCAATGTCAGGGCGAGTGCACAGCATGGCATACATGATGCTCCCTACGGTTGAGGCATAGGGAATGTCTTTCATGCCCTCAATCTCCTCAAAAGTCTAAGGAGACATCTTCTTGGAGAGAGTGACTTCGTGCCTGAAAGAAACATTTCCTTTCTTGGAATTCTCCATGTTGTACCTTTTGACAATTTTGTCAATGTAAGCAGCCTGGGATAATCTAATTATCCGCTTCGATCTATCTCTATAGAGTCAAAGACCCAGTATATAAGTGGCTTCTCCAAGATCTTTCATGGAGAAATACTACGAAAGCCACACCTTGACAGAACTTAACATTCCTACATCATTCCCAATGAGTAGAATATCATCCACATACAACACCAAGAAGGTGAACTTATCCCCACTGGACTTCCTGTAAACACAGGGCTCATCCGAATTCTGCTCAAAGTCAACGATTTGACGGCAGAGTCAAAACGGATGTTCCAACTCTTAGAAGCTTGATTAAGTCCATATATGGATCTATTAAGTTTACATACCATGTGTTCCTGACCAGCAGTAATAAAGCCTTGTGGCTGCTGTATGCAGATATCTTCACTAAGATCTCCATTTAGGAACACGGTTTTGACATCCATCTGCCAAATCTAGTAGTCATGGTATGCTGCTACAGCTAGCARGATCCTAATGGATTTAAGCATGGCCATGGGTGAAAAAGCTTCCTCATAGTTGATGCCCTCTTTCTGAGTGTACCCTTTCGCCACCAAATGAGCTTTGTAGGTCTCAATCTTGCCATCGGGGCCCTTCTTCCTCTTATAGATACATTTGCAACCAATTGCTTTTACCCCGGAGGGCAGATCTACTAGAGTTCAGACTCCATTGGCCTCCATCGAGTCCATCTCGGCTCTCATGGCCTCCACCCACTTCTGGGAATCTATGTCCAACATAGCTTCCGCATAAGTCATGGTATCTTCCTCACTAGTCAAGGCTTCTACCAGGTAACTATCTTGGTCATGACCATAACGGACTAGTGGCCTGGATGCCCGGGTGGATCTTCTAGGTTGGTCACTACCTGGAACTTGTAGGATACCTCCCACTAACGATGGGTGTCCAGGGTGTATTTGGTCTCTAAGAACTGGGCATTTTGACTACAATACACTTTCTGCTCACTCGGTTCAAAGAATAGATAACCCACTGAATCCTTTGGGTAGCATACAGATAGGCAACGACAGGTCTTGGATTCCAACTTGTTCGCACTCGTTCTTTTAACGTGCGCAGGACAACCCCAAATCTTCAAGTGTCTGAAACTAGCTTTCTTTCTGGTCCAAAGTTCATATGAAGTTTTCGGAACCGATTTGGTTGGAACCCGATTTAGCACGTAGATAGTAGTCTCTAATGCATATCCCTAAAAGGATGTGAGTAATTCTGAGCGTATGAGAAGTGACCGGACCATGTCCAACAAGTTCCTATTCCTCCTCTCTGAAACATCGTTAAGCTGTGGTGTAGCAGGAGGAGCTAACTGTGATATTATCCCGTAGGCTTTCGAGTAATCCCTGAATTCGTCAAAGAGATACTCACCACCTCAATTTAATAGAAGGGCCTTAATTTCTCTCCCTAACTGTTTCTCGACTTCTTGTCTAAACTCCTTGAACTTTTCAAAGGATTCGGACTTCTGTCTCATTAGGTACACGTAACCATACGGTGAGTAATCATCAGTGAAAGTGATGAAATACACGTGTTGGTTACGGGCCCTAACACTCAGGGGACCACATACATCAGTATGTATGAGTTCAAGTGTGCCTGTACATCTTTCAGGCTAACCGTTAAATGGTCATTTTGTCATCTTACCTCGGAGGCAAGGCTCACAAGTGGGAAGATCTTCTACGTTTAGAAAATCCAAAGGACCATCCTTTACCAACCTTGTGATTCGGTCAATACCGATATGGCCAAGTCGGTAATGCCATAGGCATGTGGAACTAACTATATCACGAGTTCTTTTCTTGGGGATTTCGACCGACGTAGTTTCGGCTAAGTTAGTTTCTAGAGAAGGACATAGAACATAGAGACCGTTCTCCAATTCCCCGTATGCGATAAATTTATTGTTCCTTTTTAATAGTAATCATATTACTAAAATAGACAGTATATTCATCAGCACACAGTTTGGAAACAGAAATCAAATTTCTTCTTAAGTTTTGTACATAAAGACAATCCTTAAGTACAAGAAATCCTTCTCTAAAGAATAATTCTACGGTTCCTATTTCCATAGCTGCAACACTTGCAGAAGTCCCCAAGTAAAGCGTCACTTCCCCTTCACTTAGCCTTCTACTTATTTTGAACCCCTACAGTGAGTTACACGCATGAGTTGAAGCCCCGGAGTCACACCAGGACACAGAAGTAACTAACAGATTAGTCTCTATGAACATGTTTCGAGATTACCTCTCTTAGATTCCAGGTAGGCGGCACAGTTCCTTTTCCAGAGGCCAACCTACTTGTAGAAGTGACAAACATCGGATGCCTTGTCATTCTTTTGCTTCTTAGATTTGGTGGCCTTCTTCTGGGGCTTTCTCTTTGCCCTCCTCTTCTTTTCAGATTTGCCAGCTTCAACAAGCATGGTTATCGGCTCATCTTGACTAATTAGATCTTCGGCTCATTGCAACATATTGTTGAGCTCATTCAAGCTGACGTTCAGCTTGTTCATGTTAAAATACATGATGAGCGGATTGAAGTGGGGGTCGTCTTAGTTACCATGTTCCCATAGACGGTGCTAATTGTTGCCGCACGGATTAGCCGGGGGCAACAAGGTAAATTCACTTGTCAAGTTTTGAGCATTAGTTGAGGACCTTGAGGCCTCGGAAGAGGTTGACCGAAGCCAAGGACAGCAAAATTAGGCGAAGTACTCCTTTCAAGGATTATGGTAGCCGTGGACTGTGAGTCGGGGCGAAGTCCCTAGTGTCCTGAGATACTACAAGACAGGAAGTGTTAGAGACCTCGGGGTGGATACCCAAGGCAGAGGCTGTGATGCTCAAGTTAGTACGAGGTGTGAAGTAGGGGAGAGTGCAAAAGTGCTCATGGAGAGAGTCCTCGGATGCACTAGATCTCCCTAAATTAATGCTAGGTAGACAATGTGGTTGCAGGAAGTAAATGAGTGAGTGATGTTGGAGTTACTTTGCTCTAGCCCCTTTCAAGGGGTAGTTACCTCTTATTTATACTTGAGCGTGCTGTGGGTAGGTGAAGATGAACACCCCGGATGGGATCCATACGAGGTCAGGCTACAGGCCCCTGGCAGGTGTGCCAAATGACTATGTGGTTAGCTTCGTACGGAGGTAGCAGGGCTCCCTAATGGTTGCTGATTCTAGCAGGCGTTAGTGGGCTGGGCCTCCTAGTCCTATGTGGGCTGGGCCAATTAACCCACATCATTAACCAATCAAATTCACTAACCTACATTTATATCAGAAAATGATTTTAATTATAGAAAAATTATAGAAATGACAATATTAATAATATATTAATTATTTAAGTAATTAAAAATTATGAATTTGCATATGATATATATTAGAAATTTTAGAATGTTTTATAACACATTATATTGTTTACAAAAGTAAAAATATTATTTACCAAACATTTGAGAATTTTAATATTTAGTTGGACATTTTTAATGTTAAAAAATTAAAAATAGTAAATAAAAAATAATTGATTTAATAATTAAAATACAATTGTTGCATAATTTTTATGCTTTGGAATTAAATAGAAAATAACAAAATATGTGTCTTGGGCTATTTATGCATTATCATAAAATTATATGATTTATGCATCTTGCTATATTAATTGTAATATATTTCCTCATATGCACCACTAAAATATACATTTTCTAATGTATTTTCACACTATTTATGGCTATTTTAACCATAAATTTAGTGTTATTAATGTATTTATAGAGTATGTATGTATTTTCCTAGCATATTCATATCCACATGTTTTCGAAGTGTATCCGTATCTATATCCATGTTTGAGTTATCCGATACAATACCTAATTCCAATATTTTAATCCTTGTTCTTCATTAACAAAGCATCTACTCCATACGACATATTTGACCTCATCTATTTATAGAATTTTCCTTTTAATCTAAGTGGTATTTGCTTATCACACAAAAGTCTAGATGTATTGCTCCATTTTTCCTATGTTGACCTAATTTGTTGGTGACATCCACCTCAGTCTCTCCCTTGTCATGAATTATTGAACTAAGGTAACAAAAATTGTCACATTGGGTCAATGTTTTCAAAATGCTATTGACCTAGAGGTTGAACCATTCAAACTTGAAATTGGTCACCTTTAACCCGCTATTGACCGTCTGGTTCAAATGGACGGCCCCGTTCAGACAACAAAAATTAAAAAATTAAAAAAACTGCCAAAAACCATTGAATGGGTCAACGGGTTAACAATTTGATCACTCGGGCCAATGGGTCGGTGACTGTTTCAATGGTTTTTGCCCAAGGACTAGGATTGGGGTAAAATAGAACTGGTTGCCTGGACGGTACCCAACTAAAAAGAAAAAAGCAAAAATGGATGACCCGTTCTAACAAAAAAAATTGAGTGTCTAATGTCCATTAAGCAGTACCATACGTGTTATGTCATTCGAGCGTGTGACTCATACGACCTGAAGATGGGACTGTTTTGGCCACCGATTTTCGGGTTGACGGTTCGGCTATTTGGTTTGAATGGATGGCCTGTTCTGACAACAAAATTAAAAAAAAATAAAAAAGCGACCAAAAACCCATTGAACTGGTTAACAGTTCGACCGCCAGGTCAATGGGTCATTGATCGATTCAATGATTTTTGGCTAAGGACTAAGATTAGGATAAAACGTAACCGGTTGCTTGGATGGTTCCCAATGAAAAAAATAATAAAAAACAGCCAAAAACCATTGAACAGATCAACGGGTTAACGATTTGACCGCTCGAATCAATGGATCATTAACCAATTCAACGGTTTTTGGACAGAGACCAAGTCAATAGATCAATAGGTCGATAGTTCCATTTCAACCCCTGCGAAGTAGGATCCCTCTGCTAGTATGTTATTATTCTAAACTTTTCTCCTAATGTTTGATCCCATCGAAATGAACAAGGTTAAGAAGAAGATGAGGAGTATATATCTCAAATTTCTTAAAAAGTTAACGAATTACATACTAATTAAAAAATTAATAAAAAGAGTATATAAAACTGAATATTACAAAGAACGAAGTTAACACACAACAATAAAGCTATAAAATGGTGGTGAAGCCAAAATAATTACATAAATAAATAAAGGTATGGCCAATGTAAATGACCCTTATTAGGTATGAAAACATAATTTAAAGTATTAACTTATACGACTGAACAACACAATCAACCTGTGGGAAAAATGATAATAAGACACACACAATCAACCTTGAATCAAAAAAAAAAAAAAATTGAAATCACCCTCCATACCAATACCAATCAACTGGAGAACTAACACATAATGTAAAAGCAAAAGAACCCTCCACACAACTAACCAGAGGACTGACACAACAATACATAATATGGAAAGAAACAGATATATAATGCGTTATCCTTCTCAATATTCCAGTTGCTCGATCAGTTGAGATACCATGTGTTTAATTGGATGTTGAGGCCACGGATGATGGAACTAATACTTGCATGTTTCCTGAAAATTTAGGACGGTTGAGCTGCTGTATCTTATCACACTCCAATGGCTCAAGAAAATGCAAACACAACAGCCTATTAATAAATGTCAGAAATTGAGAGATCAAATCCTCCTACCCACTGTTAGAACAATGCTAGTAGTAAAACAATCCGGATTTTCTACTAACTTCCCTCTACTCCCCTCTCTACTAATCCATTAAAATTATTCCAGCCGGCATTAAGTCCTATCTAGTGTAACGATTGACTAATGCCTTAATTAATTCCTCCTTTATATACTATTTTAAAGAAATACTTATTTTTATGTATTAATTAAATATTTCTAAAAATAAAAATATAATAATTTTCGGTGGTCTGTAACTCTTTTTCCGATGCATGAATATGCTTTATTAGGCTTAGAGAATTAATTTGCATATAATTAAAGAGAGAATGGGAAATTTGCATATAATTAAAATAGATATTTTTTATTTTTATCTCTTTTCTATGCCTAGTAAAGCAAATTCATGCATGGAAAAAGAGTTACAGATAGGGGTGAACAAAAAAAAACTGAAAAACCGAACTGACCAAAAAATCCAATCGAATCCTAACCAAAATCGGTTAATTGAATCGGTGTTTTTAAAACACCAAAGGTACCGGTTTGATTTTGGTTAACCAATTTTAAAAACCGACAGTTAACCGAACTGACCGGTATATATGTTTTTCTATATATTTTCTATATATTTATGTGTATATTTATATATACACATAAACCAGTCAACCAATTAACCGACTAGTTTCGGTTCGGTTCTGGTTACCGGTTTTCTAGAAACCGGTACTACTGATTCGGTTTACAAAAAAGGCCCATGGTTCGGTTACCTGAACCGTGAGCACCCCTAGTTATAGACCACCCAAAATTATTATATTTTTATTTGTAAAAATATTTAATTAATGCATAAAAATACATATTTCTTTAAAATAGTATCTAACGGAGGAATTAATTTTAATGGATTAGTAGAGAGAGGAGTAGAGGGAAGTTAGTAGGAAATTCCGACTAGCAGTAAAAGACTAAAAGTGGGAGTAACTTTAGCTGTTGGGTGCAATTAATATTTTACCCCACTTTCATGACAACGTGGCATTCCCAACAATATTCTCAACAATTGGCCCCCAACAGCTAAAGTTTTTTCTGTAAAAGTGACATTTTGGTGGGGCCACTGCAATATATTGAAAATGCCATTAGTTTTTTGGGAGAAGTACAAATACACACGATGCAGAATTCTGAATTCCAGTCCCCCTTACAACTAGCCCGCACCCCCTCTATAAACCACATCCTGCCCGTGAATTTGGCATCAATTCACGGTCAGGATGCATTCCCCCTGTACTTTGTGCCTAGTAAATTCTGAGCTGGGCTTATCGGTACTTCTCCCTAGTTTTTTCGGTTCTAGCCATGTGCTAGGACATTGTCTTAGCAAAAGTGAACTAAGGGTTGATTTACGCATGATGGGTTAATATGTATTAAAATGTCCATTGATCAATTAAAATTTTTAGATATTGGTGAGAATTGGAATTGGAATGGTCTACTCCACTCCTACCTGTTTGGTTAGAATCAGAATCAGTTGGAGTGCAGCTTCTCATTCCAAACGAAAGGAGAGAAAATGACTATTTTCTCAAATGGAGAAATGCCATTCAACCAAAAATGAGAATGTAATTTAGATTCCAGCAAACTAAAAAGTTAAAATCAGAATAAACCATTATGATTCCATACCCCTATTTCCCTTAATCAAATGAACCCCAAGAAATTAGAAGAAAAGAAAATCAACTTAACTACAAATACCTCGTCATTTCGCCTCACATGGTCATCCTCATGGACATATCTTTATTATCATTTGGGTGAACCCTACATGTGTTTCAACCATTGTTCATATTGTCTCTTCCATACCTGTAAAAATGAGGGGAGAATGACGGTTCAACCTAGAGTCAGAATTTTTAAGCCCAAAGTATAGTCCAGGTGAAAGCCAGTTAAGAATTGATGCCAATTCACTTGATGTATAAAATGGGGATTTTTAACATTTTGAATATTTATAACTCTATATTGAAAATCAAAAATCTGTATTGGGTCTGCCGGTAATTCTTTATTTATTCCCCTTTAATAGGAAAAAGAAAAATTAAGAAATTTAATAGGAAAAATTCAACATTTGGGGTCACAGTAACATTCCTTTTGCAAAGGAAAGTGATTAGACAATAATTTGGGACATCAATCTCTAGGACGAGACCAACATGTATTCAGATACCTTTCATCACAATCTGAATGCAAGTGCACATAATTGCATGTAAAAAGTGGTACAGGAAAAAGTAATCTATCGGGATATAATATGTTTTTATACTTTATTGGTAATTAACAAACAAAAACAAAAGAAGCAAAAAACAAGAAGAATGTGGTTAGAAGGTTAAGAAACTTACAGATGAATTACTTTTCCGAACTCTTTGACCTCTTCCGAGAAAGACTCATGTAATTCCTTGAGTGTCTGCTTCCGATTGACAATTTCAATTTTATTGATCTTGGGAGCATTTTGATGTCGGAAAGGAAGATGCTATAAATTTGGACAATCGAGCACAGATACTTCTTCCAACAAAGGCCAATCAGACAAAACACCACATCCACAGATACTTACGAGGCATTGCAACCCGGCAAGGTTTAAATGCGTGAGCTGGGAAAATGTTATCTTATCAACGCCTTCTTCGTCATCCTCTTTTGCAACTATTTCTTGCATGGATTTGCAATTTCTCACATCAAGTTTCTTCAATTGAGGAACATTCCGAGTAAGGGATGCAGGGAAGACGTTTCTCAATCCATGGGAATCAGATAAATCAATGTACTCCAGTTTTGGCAAACTTCGAGCTGATAGAGATGAAATAGGACATCTCGCACTAGAGTCACAATTCATTACTGTGAGTGTTTTGAGGGCTAAAAATTGGGGTTGATCATCTTGGACTACTGCTTGGTTTTCATCAAAAAGAATCTCCTCTAGGTTATTGAAGTTCATTATTATGAGTTCTTCTAAGCATTGGGATATCTGAGGTGAGAACATACCTTTTAAACCCTTGAATTGATGCATATCATGCACAGTTATTTTCTTTAATTTGGAAGGGTTTTGAACTTGCAGTTGGAAACTCTGCAAATT